ATCCTTATTTATTTGATAGGAGAAAATGCTTCATGTGCTTTTAAATTGGGACTCATTTACACTTTTTCAAAGTTTATGGGCATTTAAAAGAACCACACCAAGACTTCAAGTTGCTGGCAGAAACAAAATATCCCAAGGCAGTAACAAGGAAAAAACAAGCAAACAACAGAAAAATAAATAAAACCCGAGCAAACAAGAAACAAATTCCTCCAAGAACTGTGAAGTCTAAGTAGCCCTGTCTCAATAAATGTGAATTCTTTCTTTTTCTATATTTCATAGAAACCATTAATTCTATTTCAAAATTGATTAGTATTCATTAGAAAATAAAACACAGAAAAGTTCTATTTTAATATATTTCCCTCCTAAGTGCTTTCCAATTTTTTGTGTCCTCCCTTTTATAAAATGTGCTGAACTTTTAAAATAGGAAGTCATAGACAAATATAAGATTAAAAAAGAAATTTATATTCTGGGGATTTATTCAACTAAGCTAATTTAAGAGAAGAAAAAGTTGTATGTCCCCAAATAACTATTCAGTACTTACAAAAGTTTAAAAAAAATCGATGTAACTTATATATCTAAAAATAACGATTAATGATTAACTCACATCTACTGGATTGAATGTTACATGTTGGTGAAAAATGACAGTTATGAAAATTTTGAGGCAGCAATGGGCACTACTTCTGGTAGAACAGCAAGTGAAAAATGAAGATATACAAATAAGATGACAAAATCTCAAACTATTAGCGATGGACAAATATTGGGAAGAAACATTTAAAAATAAAATTAATACTGTAGGACAAGGGAATTGCTGATTTTCTCATATCATATTCCCACTTTGTTAAAAAAGTTGTTTTCTGCCTTTGGGTTTTTTTTTTTTCCTCTCTGAATTTGTATGTCCACATTGAAGGAAAATAGATCAGAATCCCATCTTTAAAATGGAGTCAAGTTTCAGTGTTTCTGGAATCAGAGAATTGAATCCTGTTAACTAGACCAAACACTTCTCCAGGAAAAATGAAGAGGGAGAGAGAGGAAGAGGAGAACAAACAAAACAAAACAAAACAAAAAAATCCCAATGATAGTAAATAAGTGGAATAAAATAATAAAAATAAAAATAATGTTATTAAAGAAAATAATTTATCCTGCAGCTATATTTTTAATTCTTACAAAGTTTGATACTGCACTGATGATTAATCTTTCTCAAAGAAGCTGTGTAGAAAAAAAAAGGAAAACAAATACAATGTTTATTGGTTGTCTTTAATAACAAAAGAAAAGGACAGAAAAGGGGAATGATAAATTGTGGCATGGCATTCCACGTTGGCCCATTCCTATCCCTCTCCTAGGAATGTGAGTCTTGACAAGAAATAACCCTACCCTCAGGTTAATTTTAGTGCTGGGCTCACTCAGAGGGGAGATGAAGCACCAGTCAACATCATTCAGTGCCCCCAACCCCAGCCTAAAATAGCCAGATCACTGAGGCAAAACTGATTTGGGGGCTAAAAAGGTCTGCATCTCACCCCAGCTGTCTCCGCTCTCTTGTGTTCTTGCAGCCTCTGACTATACACAGAAGCCCTTGGTGGGGGCAGGGGGGAGGATTAGAATTCACTGAAACATCTGATTTTTAAAAAGAACTAATCAGTTTCAATTTAGTAATAGTTGGTAAATTTTTATTTTCCCAAATGTGTTATTTTCTCCCCTCCTGTCATTTTAAAACATGTAAAAGAAACTAAATTCAACTAACATTTAGACTTCTATTGTATTTTTTACATGGAAAAAAAAAATCTAAAAGTGAACTGAATTCAATTATTACTTTTACAATTTTTGTTTCCCTTTGAATCTAGGATAGCAAAAGGTGGGCTGCATTTTACAGGAATTTAGAGGTCTGGATGGAAATTTTTGTGGGGTGTAACTTGCTTTTGTTTTAGGAATAAAGAGATAGAGTAGTAGGCATGTTCCCCAGGGAGAAACCCTGAGAGGTGCTTCTATTAATTCTTAGAGATTTAAATTAAATGAAGGAAACAGCACTTAAAGTTTCTGGGAACTGCAGTGCCCTGCCTAGGACCCTCTTTCTTGTTCCCCAATGTAACAGAAAGGATTTCAGGAGATTGGGGCTCCTTTTTAGGAAGAGGCCAAGGAATACAACAGCCTTTCTGAGACCCATCTTTGAGCCCTTTCAAAAGTCCACACACATCACCAAGAAAGTCCCCGGGCAACAGACACACATTCTGGCAAGATTTTTTTTTTCCCCCCCTGGACTCTCAATTTTTCTCTGAATTCTCTTTGCCCTGCAGTTTGTATTAGCTGTTTTTTTTTTTATTTTAAAAATGTTTATTGAATGCCTACTATGTGGCAGACACCGTTTCCAGCTCGTTGGTGTGTGTGAAAATTATGGTCAAAGAGCTGACTAAATATTAAGAGTCAGAAACGGTGGGGGAGGGGGGAGGGCCGGAGGTGTGGGGGGATAGGATACAGACGTCGCCCACCTTCTTGCCTAGAAAACATTCTTTTTCTACTCAGCAACTAACAGCTCATAGTATTTTCTGTCGCCCCATGCAAAGAAAAAAATCACAAACCCCCAAATCCGACAAACACGTGGCTGGCTAGAACAAAACGCGGATTTGGAGAGTGGGTTTTGAAGGTGGTGGAGATGGAGAAACCGAGTTGGAAGCCCTCCCCCCACGCCCAAAGCCCCATTTCTTTGCAGCGCGCGGGGAAAACCGGGAGGGGGACAAAGGTGCGGCGTGTGGTCTTTTAACTCCCGACTTTTTGAACGGTCTAAAATCGTCTGGCAGAAGAGAGGTGCGCCCAAGTCGGGAGTCAGTTCACTGACTCTGCAAATAAAAAATAATAACAAGAAAAAAAAAATCCAAGGCATTCCTATCAGTGCAGCCAACACGTGTTGCGGAGTCGGCCCGGGCCGCAGGCGACTGAGACAATGGGGTCGGGGACGGGGAAAGGGAGAGTGACCCCCTTCCTCACCTGCCCTCGCAGCACGCGTGCCCCCGACAAAATTGTTTCTCCCATCCGCAGAACCCCGAGCAAAACCCGAGCTTCCGCCCAGTTCAGGGAGAGTCTGGCATTACTGGGGGTCCACCCCCTCTTTTCCCGGTCCCCGGGCCAGGGGGGCTCCGGGGTCCCCGGGCTGCGCTCTCCGCCACCCTCCAAGCCCCGGCGCCGTCCCAGCCCCCTCCGCTGGAAACTCGTTGCCCTCGCCCGCCACTCGGCCCGGGATCCCGGTTGCGCGTGGACCGCGCGTCCCGCTCTCCGCCGCCTATCCTGTACTCCGAAACGCGCGGCGAACTGCCCCCTCCCCCACCGCCGAGACGGGGTGCGACCGCCCACGTGTCGCCCCTTGCCCAGTCGGGTCCGTCCCTCGGGCTCCCGGGGCCGGAGGATCCGGAGCGAGTTGGTCAAAGGCGAGGAAAGGGACCAGGGCGGATCCGCTTCCCCCTCCCCAGGAACGGGAGGGGGGAGGGGCCGCCGCCCCCTCCTCGCAGCTCCCGCCCCTCGCTTCCCCGAGCGCCGAGCGGAAATTACCCCCTCCCCCCGCGGGTCTGACCTGGGGACGTGGGCGGGGCTTCAGCCCTCGGCCCCCCGCCCCCGGCCCCTCTCCCGCCTTCCCGCCAGGATCCGAACGCTGCACCCCAAACAAAGTTCCGAGACTCGAACCCGGCGCTGGGAAAGCTGCGGTCGCCGGCCTGGGTGGGGCGGGCGGAGGGGACTCCACCTGTCTGCCCCCGCGTCAGGGAGGGAGGAGGGGAGCGTTCGGATCTCCACCCGGTCACTCCCTCCCTGAGACCTCCCCCTTCGGTTCGCTCGGGTCTGCTCACGCTACCACTCCTCTTCCTCCTCTCCACCCCTCCCTCTCTCCTGGGGTCAGCTTGGGCCGGAGCCGCGCGTTCCCCCCTGGACCCCGAGACGGTCTCGTTCGGCGGCCGAAGCCGGGTGCGAGCCACCCTTCTCCCGTGGGAATCCCGAAACATGATTTCCTGCGGACCCCTCGTTCCCAGCCGCGGTCCCCCGTGTTCCTAGCTTCCCGGTCCCGCGCTCGCAGGGTCCCTGGGTCCTGGATTGCCCGGAGGCGGAGGAGTCTCCTAGGGCTACGGCCGGGAAGGCCGAGACCCCTCACTTAAAAATCTAGGGGAAAAGCGCCTTTCTTTTAAAATCACCGGCTCGCGCGACCCCCTCCTGAAGACCCCAGAGTCCTCAGCTTCTCTTTGTCTATCTCGGCCGTCCCCCGCCTGTCAGTCGCTAGCAGTTAACCGGGGTAGGGTGGGCAAACTCTCCCCCCAGCCACCGCACGAATAAAAAATAACCGTACGTTTTACCCATAAAGAGGTGGGAGATTCTGGGCCCGACCACCCTCCCCCAGCCGGGGCCGGGGTAGGGGGATGGGTGGGGGCGGGGCGCCTCCCTTGGGGCCAGATTCTTGCCAAGGGGGAGGGGGCAAGTAGAGCTTCGGGAACGCAGCCCCCACCGCCCTGTTTCCCCCGGGGGGTGAGCTGAATGCCCCCCCCCCCAGGCCTGGAGATTGGTGGGCTGGGCTGGGCTGGAGGGCCGATGGGCCCAGAGGCTTCGGGGGTCTTCCCGAGAAGGGTGGGTGGGGGCTTTCACCACGTGGCTTCGCCTTTTTTTTTTTTTTCCGCTCCATTTTTTTTCAAGTCGATTTTATTTAGAGGCGGCGCCAGGGCGGCCGCGGAGAAACGTGACACACCAGCCCGCTCGGAGGGGTTTCGGACAGAAGGGAAAGGAGCAGCGCCGCGTCGTCCGCCTCCCAGCGCGCCGCGGGCACTTCTCCCCGGCCTCCCCGAACTCTCCCGCGACCTCTGCGCGCCCTCAGGCCACCCTCCCCGCCGCGGGCTCCGGACAACTTCAGGGGTGGGGTGCAAAGAAAGTTTGCGGCTGCTGCCGCCGGCCTCCCGCCTCTCGGCCTAGGAGGCTCGCCGCCCGCGCCCGCCCGCTCGGCCTTGCCAGGGACCGCGTCCCGCCCGGAGACCGCCACCATGAACAAGCTGTACATCGGCAACCTCAACGAGAGCGTGACCCCCGCGGACTTGGAGAAAGTGTTTGCGGAGCACAAGATCTCCTACAGCGGCCAGTTCTTGGTCAAGTCCGGCTATGCCTTCGTGGACTGCCCCGACGAGCACTGGGCGATGAAAGCCATCGAAACTTTCTCCGGTAAGAGTGCGCCCACCTCCCCGGAAAAGCCACAACGAAATACCCCCAACAACGGAGACCTGCTCCTCTTCTCTCCTTGCCCGCCAACTGCCCTCTTGCTCCGGCCTGCGGGGCTTGGCCTCGGCATCGACCCTCCGCCCACCTACTTCGACGCCCCCTCCATCCCCCCACTCGCCCCTCGCGCGGAAATATCCTGGACCCCCTCACCCCTTCCTCCCAGCCCCAGAGCAGAAGCTGGAGGCTTTAGTAAGGCCGCCCCTACCCCCCGCCGACGGGGCGGGGGCCCTGTTTGGCAGTGTGTGGGGGGGGGTCCCCACTCAGGCAGCTCCCGTCTGGGCCTTATTTCCATGCCCGCCCCTCCCTATTCGAGGCTGGACCCCCTCCTCCCCCCCCAGCCCTGCAGCGCGAACACCCCCAGCTCCCTTTTCTCCACCCTAGGCCTTTCCAGGCGGGGAAGAGGTCCCCGCTCCGTCCCCGATCTCCCGGGTGCCCAGTGGGCACGGCAGCCTTCGGGCAGGGCCGGAGAGGAAGGGGGTCCCGCCTCCCGCCCAGGGCCTGGGCTTGAGCCATTTTGATTTGAAAGTGGGGCGTGAGCGGGGTGGCGCGGCGGCGGCGGCGGCGCCGGGTCGCCATGCTGCTTCCCGAGACGCCCAGGCTGGGCCGAGAGGCGCGCGCCGCGGCCGCGGGGAACCCTGCCCGCGGGGCCCCGCTCCGCTCCCCCAGGGCCTCTGCTCGCCCCCGGCCCCGACAGGTGAGCGCCCCGCCGCCCGGAGCCCTGCTCCGCGCCTCGACCGAAAACTAAAGTTTCATTCTGCACCCCTCCCCCGCAACACACTTTGGGAGCAACGGGGAGCCCTTTCTCTCCCGGCCCTAGCTCCCCAGCTCTGGGAGCCGAGTAGGCAAGCCCGCCCACACAAACGCCCTGGTCGCCCCATTCCCAGATCGGGCTCCCAGAGCGATCCACTACCCAACCAGCCTCAGAGAACAGAACAAAACGAAAATTAACAAAACACAATAACGAATTTATAGATTTCCACCATTCCCAGAGCGACCGTTTCGCGTCTGGCCACGGAACCCACTGCCTGGATTTCTAGGCAGATCTCCGATCCCAGTAACTCCTGAATTATCCTCTCCGTCCTTTTCCCACCCCACACCCCTGTTGCAGCTCTTATATTGCCTTTTTTTTTTTTTTTTAATCTTTAGGGAAAGTCGAATTGCAAGGAAAACGCCTAGAGATTGAACACTCAGTCCCCAAAAAACAAAGGTAGGAAAGGGCTCTTTGAGCAGGGAGGCAACCTGGGGGCGCTTAGAGGCTGTGTTAAGGGGTCCATAGTGTCTCCAGTGGAAGAAACCCATTACGGGCCTTCCCACCCCCCACTCCGGATGTTGGGGGCAGGGAGGGAAGATTGGCTAAGATCTTGTAATGGGTGGTTTACAGCTTGTAAAAAATAAGCCGGGGCTGGGGTGGGCTGAGAGATGGTATTTGGAGAAGTAAAAGGGAAAAAATCAATAGGAGAGAAACCTTGTGGATTTATTCAAGGTGTGTGTGGGGCCATTTTTGTGAGGAAGCTAAAAATCTTTGAAGAGTTCCAACTCCTGGACATCTCTGCAACTTCTAGCAGGCCTCCCTTTTCTCTTTTATTCCCCCCACCCATCCCATAATTCTTAAGTGGATTGGGGGGGCTCCCCTTCGACATCCAAGGGGAAGTGGAATGAGTTCCTGTCCCCAAAAGAATTCCCTTTTGCTTGTGCTTTATATATATTTCTGCAACAGGCAAGGGCATTTTTTTTCTAGACACCTACCCCTAGTCCCTCACATCACACGTCCTCCCCTCCCAACTGGATTTTGCAAAGAATATGCTTTGGCTGTGCTATCCCTTTCCGAGCCCCCCCACCCCCACTCCTTCAGTCCATTGTTACGAGGGGACCATCTGGGGTGAGAGCTTTGTGTTCAGGCTGTGAGCTGGGGCTCTTTGGAGGGTCTAGAACTCCCTGGATGAATAGTGAGAGAGAGAGAGTGTGAGTGAGAGAGAGAGAGAGAGAGAGAGAGTGTGTGTGTGTGTGTGTGTGTGTGTGTCCCAATACCTTTCTATTCTCATTTAAGCAAAGTGGGGTACCTCTATCATGTTATCCCCAAATCTGATTCATGGTGGATTTCAGATCTTTCATTGAACCCTGGGCTGCAAAGTATAGGGGCAGAGTCTCTCTGCTTTCTCACTTAAACATGTTGACAGTGCAGAATTTTCCCTCATGTTGCAGCCCCCAGGAAATCTTTGATCCTCTTGTTACCCCCTCCCCTCCCTAGGTGTGTTCTCCCCTTTATTTCAACTGGAAACTTGCTGCATTTAGAATAATCCTGGCCTTTTGTGGGTGGGAAGGTGGAGGTGGGTGGCTCTGTATAGTTTTTTTGTTTTGTTTTGTTTTGTTTTTGAGCTTGTGAAGTTTAACTGTAAAGTTTAAGTGAGATAAAAATCTGTTCAGTGGGTTTAGCTTAAGATATTTTAAGTAACTTAAACTATTGTATCTATAGATGATCAATATGGCTTGTAACTATGTTTATAGAGCCTGTGATTTAACCTCAAGTGCTTCAGATACTCTTATTGGAAAGGCAATTAGAGTTAGGAGTAAAGAGGCAATAAAATCAGAAGGAAGAAAAAAAAGTCTTATTTATTATTTTGAAACATTTCCTGGAGATGGGCCTGAGAGAAAGATACTGACACCAGTAGATTTATTGAGAAGATTGTGGATATTTGACCTGAAAGCTGAGTGTTTGAAACATGTTGATGAGAAATGTCCAGAATAATTGGAATTCTGACATACGTGGGATTTTTTTTCCTTTTGCTCTTATGGATGGTTTAAATTTTAAAGGGAATGAAGTGAAAGCAAGAGAAATAGCAAAATGTGATGAGAAGGGACCCAAAACATTTATATTTTAATTTCCATGGTGCTCTGTATTTATGGATCTTTCCCCCTAAGCCATCTGCTTGCTTTCAAGCCATTTTTAGGCTCCTTCTTGTTCCCTCCAAAATGCATTACTTAGGGCGCTTTTGAGTTGGGAAGGGGTGGGGTTTGTGAGAAGAGTGGGTACAAAATCTTCCTTTCCACATCCATATTAAATTCCATCTTTTGTGTGTGTGTTCTCCCCTTCCCTGAAATAATTTTTTGAGCACAAACAGGTGTGTGTGTGTGTGTGTGTGTGTGTGTGTGTGTGTGTGTGTGTGTGTTTGTGGGGTGGTTGAGAAGGCACTTCATTTTTCTAGAATGAATCAATTTTTGAAGTTTTAGGATTTAAAAAAAAGAGTTTGTTTGCATGAAGTAAGTTTGCTCTATCATTTTGTGTTCTTTGAAGGAAGCATTTTGTGGTATGTGTTTTTAGTCTGTCTGAAAACTATTCAGTTGGTCTGTTACTGGCTTTTTCAATCTCATGGATGTATAGAACAGGAACTAGTTAATTAAATATAACTAATGTATTTTAAGCAAAATGAATGACTGTGCATGTGTATTTTGTATGTATATACTCTTGTTTCCACTGTTTAAAAAAATAGAAAAGAAGTAACTTCCTGATGCACTCAGTTCCAAATGAGTTATAACTTTAAACATTTCTAAGAGATTCATAAAAATCTAACAACCTAAGTGTTCCTGGTTTTTGTTTGGTTGTTTTTTGTTTCTTAGAGGGGGGAATCAAAAAAGTAATATTACAGCAGTTACCTTAGCATCCTCTGATTTTTGAAGTATTAATTTTGTTCTAACTTTGTATCTATTTGATAGATATACTATTTGTACCTTTTTAAGAACCCAAGAGACTGAGCACTATGCATTTAAACTGAAAACATTAATTTGAAATTTTAAAATGGATGATATTAAATTTCTTCCACCTTCCCAAACCCTTTCTTAGACAGTGTTGGAATTTTGGCTAACAGTTTTGGCTTTTTGTTGAGAATTTGTATATATTCACTGTCAAATATTAGGACAAAGGAGAAAAGCCTAAAGCATTTTTAAAACAGTTGTGGAAGGGGTTTGTACGTGTGTTTTATTTTGAGAGACATAAGAGTAGTTAAGGTAAGGGGGGGTCCCATTTTAGACTTGTTTATTTTGAGAATTGACTTGCTTTTTAAAGGAATTAAGCTTGTGTTTCATTTGCCACTGTGTGTGCCTTTTTCTAGAGGAATGTGACCTAAAGATAGCATACCTACTGTCAACTGCTGTCATCAAAATAAAAGGTGTTGCTGTTAAGAAAAAAATGCAAGAGATGTACTGCATTTCTCTGCATGAAATGTGTTCAACTTAAAAGACTGATTTTCTTAGGCAAGTTAATGGTTGTTCTTTTCTCTAAGCTGACTTAAAATGAGGTGGGCTAAACACTTTACCTTGATTTTCCAAGTATTAAAAAAAAAAGAAATTGGTATCAGAGCCATTGAAGTGTGAGAACTCTCAGAAAGTGCTTAAACTTTATTCAGACTTTACAGTTTGATTTCCTAAAGTTAGCAGTTTTGAAAATCTGTGTGAAGGGATGTCTTGTAAGTGGCAAAAATAGTATTTTTAATTTTAAATGATTCGCTCTGAAGTAATTGGATCACTAAACGTTTTCAAAACAAGCAAAAAGATTTTGCCTTCAGAAATGGACTTGTCTTTAATGAAAATTGTTCTGAGGGGCTGAAAATGAATTATAACAAGGGGGTTAAGAAGCAAGGGAATGTCTTAAAAAAACAACAAAGGAGTAAAAAGTACTAGAGTGGGAGGATTTTCAGGCACTTTTACTTCAGTGGTTATAGTTGAAAGATACATCTGACCTGTATTCACCTAGTAAGATTAAAGTAGAAACAGTTTATGACACTTTCAGTAAAAGGTTTTCTTAGTAATAATAGGTTAGTTTTTTTGCTTTTAAATAAATTTAAAAATGGTTGATTCTTACATTTTTCTGCACTGTTTGGAGGGAAAGTGGAAATCAGTTCACTCAACATTTTAGTTTCCACCTAGAAAGTAGATCTTACAAATTCATTGTTTTCTTCACTGCTAGAGAATCTGTTATCATTTAGTGCACAGTATTTCAAGATGCTTTCCTAAAGGACAGTGGTATTTGTCCATTGGGAGCATGGTAGGTTCCTAGAACCCTTTATTTTCTGACCGACAGTAGAAAGATGAAATTTTACTCTGATGCTTTCTCAGATGGAGAACCTTGGGGGAAAGAAGGGGAAGAATTGTAATTCCCATCACCGATTTATTCAAAGTATAGTTAACTGCTCCAAATGTAAAGTTTTTTTTTTAAAGATTTTATTTATTTGAGAGAGAGAAAGAGAGAGAGCACATGAGAGGAGGGAGGGTCAGAGGGAGAAGCAGACTCCCCGCTGAGCAGGGAGCCCGATGCGGGACTCGATCCCGGGACTCGATCCCGGGACTCCAGGATCATGACCTGAGCCGAAGGCAGTCGCTTAACCAACTGAGCCACCCAGGCGCCCCCCAAATGTAAAGTTTTAATGGCACAGCTTTTGGTGGAAAAGGAGCAAAACATTATTATAATCATGTTTTAGAGATGAAATACATGACCATTAGCCGTTGGAAGAATCTTGATTCAAGGGTTCTGAGCTTCTGATCTTTTTAAATTACCTTAATACAGGTCATTTGCGTCTTGTTTATGTGTTTGGGTACTTTTAAGGCTTATTTTTTAAGGGTTTATTCTAAACTTTAATGTGTAACAGCCAGTTGACAAAGATACTACTGAGATAGGCTAGTGGTATACAATTTTAAATTATTTTTAAAAATTTCAGATCTGGTTTAGTTGAGTGAAAAGGGGGGAGACCAAGTGGTGTGTGAAATTTGGGGATCTTTTTGTTGAGGATAGACATTGGTTATATATCTCTGTTGGTTTTTGGTGGTGGTGGTGGTGGTGGTGTCATTAGAATAAATGTATGAACCAGAGACGTTGGAAGAACAGACATTTTGTCGGCTGTTAGGATTTGAATTCCGTCTTGTTCGCTCCCCATCCTCTTTAAAGGTTCTTAAAATGTGGCTAATGCCTTCCAGAAAGTGCAGCTTAGAATTTGGGATGGGAGTGTTAGGGAGAGAAAAGAGGAAGAAAAAAAGCAGCAGGGGAGACTGGAGAAATCAGACGAGTTAGTCCTGGGTTGGAAATTCCAGACGGGGAAGACAGAGAGAGAGAGAGAGAGAGAGAGAGAGAGATGGGGGTTGGGTGGAGTTCCCGCTTCCCTTTTAAAGAGAAGCGGCTGGAGGCGCACAGCGACCCACGGGAGAGGGGGTCGCAGACAG